CTCAGAATATAAAGAAGATAAGAAAAGAGATTTACATTGTGTAAATATGACCAAACCGGTGTGTGACCCTCAAGAAACTGAGGTCCTAAAGTGCCCCCTTGCAAACTGGACCAAATAACACCAATGATGAGACTGTGATTCATGAAGTATGCAACCACACAGTGATAACTCTCACCATTCTGTACGACAGCAGTCAAGGTACTATACCACAAAACAGTGAGGAATGCAAATGCTCAAATTCACAATAGAGCACTCGATGACGAAACCCTTCTGAACACGTACAACAAGGGTGAAATCGATGGTGCATACAAACACCGGCATGCATAAAAATACGCCAAAAGATTGTCAAGATAGAAGGTAAAACGGCCTCTTCGGCCATATTAATTGGCCCGTGTTTGCACAGATGCTGGCGAGATGACAAGAAAATTTGCTGAGATAAACATTTACTCCCGGGGGACGTCACTCTCACTTGCTCTGGCAGGCTACGGCCACGTGGAGGTTGCCATTTATTTGCATCAACGTTGGACTTTGAACAGGGAAAACAATTTTAAGCTGTTTGTACTGAAACACGGTGGGGCAGCTGGTTGCACAGGACTCTCCAAAAATGATCATTTTTTATTAGCCTTTAAAAAGAAATTGACAGATTTTTATCAACTTATTTGTCAACTCCTGCCAGAGTCCTTCATTTGCCTGTAAATTGCCTGAGTGTTTTGTTTGGGATGTTGCATCAGAAAAAGAGTAGCATACATGTAGGTAGCACAGAAGGGGGATATTCACCCAGAGAGTAGAATAGGTAGCATTTAAGGGGAACATTGCACAGAGAGTAGAATAGGAAGCACTGAAGGGGGATATTTTACAGAAACAGAGTAGCATAGCATTATAATGGAGATATTTCACAGTGAGTAGCAAAGGAAGCACTGAAGTGGGATATCTAACAGAAAGAGGGTAGCATAGCATTTGAAGGGGGATATCTCACAGAAAGAGGGTAGCATAGCATTTGAAGGGGGATGTTTCACAGAAAAAGGGGAGCATAGCATTTGAAGGGAGATGTTTCACAGAAAGAGAGTAACATACATGTACATGTAGCATTTGAAGGGAGATATTTCACATAAAGAGAGTAACATACATGTAGCACTTGAAGGGGGATATTTCACAGAGAGTAGCATAGGAAGCACTGAAGGGGAATACTGTACAGAAAGAGAATAGCAAAGGTACATGTAGCATTGCTGGGGGCCATTTTTTATTTAAGTAAAATATTCTTAATAAACATAAATGGGGAACATGGATACAAAGGATATTTGGCAAGGGGGGGATCATCAAAATAAAAATGACACTGGACAAGTTCGGTACTAAAAGTCCACGCGTGTTTGAGAGGGAACTATAATTACTACAGTAATTTAATCAGATTGAAATTGATTGACTGATTGATTGATTGATTAGATTGAAATGCATGTTAGAGTCCTACAACATCACAGTAAATAACAAGGAACCTGAAGTACTACCACTGTGCCAACCTAGCCGGATGAGTTCATGTACATGAAAGAAAAATATGATGACTGCAAACCAGTTGCTAGCGACACTGAACACAACAGCACATGCAGGGCACTGTGGTCGTTACTGGTAACCTGGCTGCAGTGGAGCCAAATGTCAGTGAAATTTGTTAGCTTAGCAACTATGTAAAAGTACACTATCTGATGGATGACGGACCACTTTAATAGTACTGATAACTTTAAGGTGATCATTCAGCCTGTTTCAAGACATCTTTATTTCTATGGAGCACCCAATGTAACAAAAAGTCAAGCAAATCAGAATTTCAAAAGAAATGGGTCAATGGTCCATCACATGTATGCATCTTTTTCCTGCGTGTAATGAGCCATGACATGTATGACACATTTACATGAGTAACTCACAGTTTCTGTTGAAAAGTGCAAAACATGCAACTGAATATCAGCCGATTATTTTTTTTATTTCAGAGTGGACGTAAGATCCTACTCGACCTAAGACATATCTGGCGAAACGTCTTAGGTCGAGTAGGACCTTACGTTCACTCTGAAATATTTCAAACACACACAAAGGTTTTAATAGGATTAAATACAATCCAGGATGCTGTCATTTGTGACTGAGCATGCTGACAGATACGCAAGGCCATTACTTCAAAGCAACACAAGTACTCAAGGACTTTAATTTCAAAAGCACGCTAATGACTTCACTTTGCTCTTCCTCGTTAGGAATTCAAACACCGACTGAGACGGAGATACACATGCAGGAACGTTAATGGAAACTGACAGGATGATTTGAAAAAATTGACACGTGGGTTCGTCGCATGTATGTAACAGTTCCCACCGCTGCAGGTCAAGAGATGGAATTTGGGTTGAGAAAAAAAATGCTCACAATGATTTTTGAGTTCATAAGGCCCTGGTCTAACGTGACAACACATTCCAATGCAGGTTGATGGGAATGATGCGTCAACAGCATATAGTTATATGTGCGATAAGTACTAAAGGGCTCACTCGCTGTGCAAAGTGAAGTGTGCTAGGCACATCCATGGTTGTGCACAAACCTATGAAAAATTTGAAATAGTGTACTACTTTCGCACAGCTATTTGCATATCTATGTTTGTACTCTAAAGCAATGTATCAACAAAGCCCATGTGCCTTACTATAAAGACACAATCAAATTAGCGTATAGTTTTGCTCAGTATAATCAACACAAATGCATGTGTACATACACTGGAGATACTATACAATTGAGAAACAGGAAACAGGTTGCAGGTTAATTTGCAAATGTTGAACTTACGTAATGCATTTAGAGTACACAGTATGGAACTAGTTCCATCCTATTCTTTTTAATGTTACATAAATATGCACATGAATTCCAAATTTGTTACATCCAGTAGGTGCAAAGGCTTCTTGATGTGAGTAATTACAAGTTTTTGTTCTGGTAATTCAAAATTGCTCTGTTGTCAATCCGCTTTGAGTGGAACAAATTTGAGGGTAGGGGGGGACTCACCACATAGGCGCACCATGAGGCTGCATGTATATGCGCAATTGGCGCGGAGCACGCCAAGTACGTGTAACTAATTTATTCCAGCATGTATGGTCTTTGCGTACACACCTGTCTTTCTTTCGCCGATTGGGGTTACACTTCAGCTCGGGGCAGATAGGCTTCTGAAACTGAAATCAAAATCTGACAAATGGTGTCCAAAATTTTGCCTTCCTTCCTGGAGACTATTAATGTGGCCACAAACTGAACTTACAGCTACTTTCACTTTAACTACAGACTTGAGAAAGTCAAGACATATTTTCTTAAATTTCTCTTATAAAAAAAAGGAGTTTGCTTCATTTTCAGGCAGAACAATTACATCAATGAGCAGGGGACTTTTTGAATTACAAACGACTATTTTTCAAGAAATATCACAGTCTCATTCACTAATGATGACAAAACAAAATCAATTTCACATTTCATCTTCTTCATACTGAAAGTGGACAACAATCAGAAATGAACACAACAAATTTTTGGCCAAACAGTTTTGCTACATGTAGAACTTTTGGCCAAACAGTTTTGCTACATGTAGAACTTTTGGCCAAACAGTTTTGCTACATATAGAACTTTTGGCCAAACAGTTTCACTACATGTAGAACTTTTGGCCAAACAGTTTTGCTACATGTAGAACTTTTGGCCAAACAGTTTCGCTACATGTAGAACTTTTGGCCAAACAGTTTTGCTACATGTAAAACTTTGGCCAAACAGTTTCACTACATGTGGAACTTCAAAAAACGAACATCATCAGCATCAAGAGCAAATTGTCCTGTGCAGAAAAGAAAAACAAAAAACCCGTGCAGATTTCACACATATTCTTTGAAACTTGCACTGTATTGTCCACACAACACAGGTTCCCTTTCCACAAGGCCAAATTCCACTTCAAAAGGTGGCACTCCATTTTTCCACTCCAGCAGGAAACGACTGGCCTCATACATTATTCATACATGTACCTGTACCTACACGTACATGTATCACAGTTCTGAATTGACCTCATGATAAATGCATTCAAGGTGACTACCAATACATTACCGTTAATGAAGTGGGTGTGTGAATTCCTTTACAATATTATTTGAATAGCATATTCATTACCGGCATGCACTTCCAATTTACCACTTATTAGTGGACCGACCCCCCCTCACACATGTATAATCAATTTGACATTTATTCTAGCTCCAATCAATGAGCCTACGGCACATATGTATGGACCCAAAGGAGATAACACAAAGCTGCTGCTGGTAACTGATATGAGTAGAAGATCATACATGGCCTTCCAGAGGACTGGAAAGGTCTGTTTTATTAAGCATGCCACTTAACCCAGGAGGCGACAAGATATGCATTATTTGTTTAGCTACGGTGGAACCGTGATATCGCTCCAATTCTTGCTTATTTTTCCCACAAAATACAAGATTCAGCATCCAAGAAACAGGACTTCACCTTTTCTTGAAAGATAAACAATGTTTACTTTGATGGCATTACTTGGCACTGTTATCACAAAAAAAATGATTACAACAAATATTTGACATTTTACAATCATTTGTAATCCTTTCACACACAAAAAATACACTTACGCTGCACTACCGATTATTACTCAAATCTAAGGATTAATGATATTAGTGGTTTGTAATTCCCTTGAGTTATTGGAAAATCACCAAGTAAAAAGAGGAACTGAATACATTGTACATATAAGCTCTATCAAACTGGCAATGGTCAACTCTACTTGTTTCTTTAAAAAGCAAATAACAGAACTGCTCTGTGTTGATGTGCTTCACTGCCATTCCACTGTCTACACACCTGTACATGTACATGTAATGTTGATTTTCCAAAATTCTGCTTCCTAAAAAACCCTAGTCTAGTGGCTATTACACTGATAGTTTTTTAAGTAGAAAATGGTAAACACTTTATCGTAAGCATAAACTCATTAGTACAAGATAACACAATCTGGCTGGTTCATTGCTTACCTTTCCATAAAATAGTGTCTATATCCTGACAGACCTGACCACGAGTCACTTCTTGCTGACAATTGATGTGCTTCACTGAGTGAGAGAGAGAGGTTTTTACGCAGTGTCCATTCCAATACAAGCTCCTCTTCCCATTGCGATACACTCAGGGCTGATGGAGATAAGTTCCTCCTGGGACCTCCGCGGGACTATAATCACGGACACAACCGTCCCGGCGTTCGGCCAGAGAGAGACAGATTGATTGTGACAATAAGGATCAGCCGTGGACGCACTTGCTTCTTTTCTCGCGAAGGGGAATGGGAGCGTTCGCCAAGGGGGAAAAGCAGGAAAAATCTGTCTTGACGCGATTCAAAGAAAATCGCAGGGGGAAAAAAAGATGGATCTTGATGTGTCGTTCCTCATCCGGTCCGACAGGGGGTTGTCACGCGGGAGGAATGCCTTGACCGTCACCTCAATTTGGCCGTGATGTCATCGTGGCAGAATCCGACGGGAGACCCCCCTCTAACTGCAACCGATCGACAACGTAGGACTGAGGCCTAATCAATCATATTCCGGGCCCTGTAATTGAACTCCCCGGCATAAAATACTAATTCATGACCGCGGCTATTATTGGCACATTGGAATATTTATCACCCGGCCGCCCGGTGCCCCGTCGCTTGCACGGCTTGTTAAGCACTGGAGTGAGTGTGTGAGCCGAGTCAGCCGACAGTCCCACTGTGTCTGTGCAGTATATCAATGGCTATTAGGCTGCAAGTGAAATACCATCATCTTTTTCCTTTCCAATCCAGTTAATACTGCCTAATAGCTTCTGGTCATGATACTGCGGAGGTGTCATCAAATCATTCTGTCCTCTTTCTAGTTTTTTTTTGTTCTTTTTTTTCCACTCCGGCTGCACTTCACATGTTGAAAAACAAGAGTGCTTAATTTTGGCCATCCCCGGGAGGATTAATGGATCGACCTGGAGCAGCATGATTACAATTGCATATTCTAGAGCAAGCAGGGGTGTTCTTCCCAGAATGGTTCAACTGGCCAGCCTTCCACAGCAGGGAATAGCATTTTAATTAAATTAAACTCCAAACGAGGGATATGAAAAAGAAACCTTGGCATAACCTCTAGCATTTACCTGCACTTTTAATCTATATTTGCTCCAGATATTGCCTGCTGCATTCAACACGAGGAACAGTTTATTTTAAACTTTTGCTGGTTTGAATCATTTTTTTTTTTAATGAAGAAAAAAAAACCCTCAGAGCTCAAGGGATTTCATTGATTGTCCAAAGTTCTGACCCAGAAATAATGTGTCTGGCTCAGGGTATTAAAACCGTCAGTGAGAATAAGTTGGGACTTCCTGTCTCAGGCCCAGTTCTTAAACAATTCCTACAATTTCTGTTGTTGTTGAACTCATAATTATTTGATGCTTTTTATGCTGTATTAACCCTAACAGTCCTCAATGCTTCCTCTGTTGGAGGACTGAGGATTGTTAGGGTTAATCCTCTTTCTGGGGCCAATTTCATAGAGCTGCTCAAGTACAGAATTTGCTGAAGCACGAAAAAAAACCTGCATAATAAACAAAGGTTACCAGCTCAAACTCTATGCGATTGTCATGCTAAGCAAAAGACAGGTAAATACTACTCCAAAACAATACACATCACAAGAAGTTTTGGCCCGTAAGGTGATTTGTCAAGCAAAGTTTTTTCACACTAAAACAAATTTTTCGCTTAAGCAGCGCTTTGAAATTGGCCCTAGTCTCGTCTCACCGGTGCACTATTTCCCCCAATCCCTGATTTCTTGTTTGCCTTGGGTAAAGCACGCACGGCTCACTGCCTACGCAAGAAAAACAAATACGTGCAGCCAGGCATTGCTATAAAAATATCTAGTATAATCATGATGCACTGATAAATGAAGATGTATTTATCAAAGTGAAGACTGTGATGTTGGACTGCGGTGCCATCCTAGGCTAGCAATTAAATTGACAATGGAGTGATAAGCAGTTCATAAAATGACGTGTAAATTTAATTGTAACAAATGTGTCTGATTAATGTGTAGATATGTGTGCATGTTAGTACAAATGTCAACACAAAGTAGAAAAATGTAAGATTATCGGTCCTTATCAAAGTATAAAAATTAATGGCATGGCAGCAAACTGAAATGGGAAAAGTCCACCGGTGTCATTGTTCTACTAGTCTACTGCCTTGTGAATTTGATAATTATTGAAGAGAGACTACATGTAATATACACAAAGTAATACAAAGGTCTAAGATAACGATTTTTTACTATGTCTGAAAAGGGCTTACATGGCTATGGCCAGGTCTATGGTCTGTATGTTCCTGCATACTTACAGGCTACGGCTAGGTCTATT